AAAAGAACTGCAGATGCTATAAATCAGGAACAAAAACAGAAGTTGCTAAAAAATGTTCAGCAGGTCTGGCAGCACCTATGAAGAAAAAAAAAATCAGTTAAAGTTTCTTCCAGATGCTGCCAGACCTGCTGAGCATTTCCAGCAACTTCTGTTTTTGAATCTGGACCTTTAAGTAAAAAGGAACACAGCCACACTACACATTAAGAGTTGCAAGAGATCTTACTTGTTGTTCACCAATGTGTTACAGTATAAATTGTAATTTAAGCGATATGAACCAAAAAAGTTTACAGTCCAAAGCAAATATACATAAAAGACCAGCTATTCTACAAAATAGAGTTCTAGTTTGTTCTAAAAGGTCACCCAAAACATCTAGTTACTACTTGGATGAACAAATCTGAAGTTGCAACTAGTCTCAAGGCAAATCTAATCATTAGCAACTCTTGTGTAACAGAGTCTTGGGAATACAGTACAAATAGTTGACTCTGATAAACAAAACCTGAGCATTAATTATTGATTCAAAAGATTCAAACGTAACACGGACAACTCATGACAGACAGCAAAGCAAGAGTCCGTTCACCACCTGGAATTACTAAGCAATTTTATTCTTGACAAGTGAACTTCACCATTAAAATTTGGTGATTTAGTGTTAAAAGAGGGCAACAACAATGGTCCATAAGCTATAATGAATGTGGCAGTACTGTTTGAAGTGAAATTGATGAGAGATAGTACAATACATTTGCTTGATTAAATTCCCATCAACTGAATGTTTAAATGCTTCAGCTGAAGGATAACCCAGGCATCAGTGCAACTTCCAATTCATTTCTGATGGGGCTGGCACATCATTACATGCTCAAGCTTGAATTCACAATTTAGATTTGAGAAATCAAGCAAACATCCAAATGAGATCAGAACTAATTGGCAACCTCCAGAATTAGTAGATGCCCGAAATGATCTTTCAGCATTATTTAACATGGTAAACAATGGATGACATTAAACAAAAGGATAGGTACTAATTTAAAATATACAAAAATTGATGATTCAGCTCAACAAGTTAATTGGCAACTTATACTTCATGTGAGTCTCCTTCCATTCTAGCCATTTTGACACCAAGCAGCGAAGAATTTCATTCTCTCTCCCCACCGCTCCAAAAAAACAACAATAAGGCTCTTACTGAGCACTGTTAGCACTATCATTAATCTTTCACATTATTAGGACATACATCCTCAGCTGCCAAGTACACAGGAACAGGAGTAGGCCATTCAGACCCAAGCCTGTTCCGCAATTCAATGAGGTCATGGCTGATCTACACAGATACCAAAGATAGATGGAGGGGCGGGTAGTGTTGAAGAAGCAGGGTGCCTGCAGGACGACTTGAACAGGAAAGGACAATGGATAGATATGGGCAGATGGAAAACAATATGGGAGCGTGTGAGGTTATGCACTTTAGTAGGAACAGAAGCATTGACTACTTTCTAAACAGGGAAAGGTTTTGGAAATTTGAAGCACAAAGAGACTTGGAGTCTTACTGCAGGATTCTCTTAAGGTTAAGATGGAGGTTCAGTTGGCAGCATAAAGAAAGTAAATGCAATGTTAGCATTCATTTCAAGAGGCTTAGAACACAAAAACAGAGACATACTGCTGACACTGTACAAGGCTTTGATCCGACCACATTTTGAATATTGCAAGCAGTTTTGGGCCCCATATCGAAGGAAGGATTTGCTGGCGTTAGAGCGGATCTACAGGAGGTTTACAAGGATGATCCCAGGGATGAAGAACTTATCTTGAAGACTCTGGGGCTGTATTCCATGAAGCTTATAAGTATGATGGGGGAATCTCATTGGAACTTTCAGAATACAGAGACGCCTAAATAAAGTGGACATAGAGAAGATGTTTCCACTAGGAGAGACAAATACCAGAGGGCAAAGCCTCAGCTTGAAAGGATAACCCTTTAGAACTGAAAGGAGGAGGAACTTTATCAGCCTGAGGGCGGTTAGCGTGTGAAATTCATTGCTGGAGAGGGACGTGGATGCCAAATTATTGAGTATATTTAAGAAAGATAGGTTCTTGATTGGTAAGGGGATCAAGAGTTACAGGGAAAAGGCAGGAGAATGGAGTTGAGAAACACTGGTCATGACTGAATGGCAGAGCAGACTTGATGGGCAGAATGGCCTTATCTGGCTCTTATATCTTATGGCCTAACTCCTTATACCTGCCTTTGGCCCAAGATAATACTGTAGGAGCATCTCCGGGAAGTATCCTAAGCCTAAACAAAACCAGACATGGGAATATCACTACCTGCAAACTCACCTCTGACGTGTGCTTGCATATGTGAAAGGAGGTAGGGAGCATGGTGGGGATAAGAGAGGAATAAAGGCAGAATCAGTGTTGCCTTATTGTTGAAGAGTCAAAATCAAGAGCCCAGCAGCATTGTGGGTCCACGTACAGCACACGGACTTCAGTAGTTCTGAAAGGCAGCGCACCACCATCTTCTCAACAGGGACGGACAATAAATGCTGGTCTACATCTCAAGTAAAACCATTCCCACTAGCTCATTAACAATAATATCAAACCCATCTCTAACCCCTCAGTCACATCTCTCAAGAATTTATTCCAAGGCTACAGCCTACACCTCTTTAGAATGGATTTGTAAGAAAAGGTTATCAGCTCACTTATGGGGAGCCAAGTCTTTTTAAAAAAAAAGTCACAGCATGACAGCTACATGGTAGGGGAAAAGGTCAAGTGGAATAGGTTCTTGTTGAATTCAATACACTGAAAACCTCATAATCTGGACTTCTTTGTCACCATACTGGACAAGGAGGTAGTCATTCTTCAGGAATACAATAGTTTACCACATGCCAGAGATTCCAAGAAGTGAATGGCCAGTGAGAGAGGCAAATACCAAAAGGGACAAGGGAATTTGTTGAGCCTTTCAAAGAGCAGGAGCGTAGGCAACTTCCAGAGTGAGGGGGAAAAGTACGATAAAGTCTTTAACACAGAAGATTTTGTCCGCTCTTGCTGCTCAGACATCAGCAAATGACAAAGCATTCAATCCTGTATTGGAGAAGGAACAGTGAGTCAGAGAGAGACACACACACACACACACAGACACAGACACACAGACACACAGACAAACGCGGGGGGGGGGGGTGGTAGTGAAGGTTCCCACTCAGGAAAGGGTCACTCACCCCCTGAAGAGGCTGGAGATCCTTCAGCTCTTTATGCATTCACCGCACAACAGGGGGAAACGGAATGGAGTAAACTTTCCTCAGGAAGGGATATGGAGAGCCACCACCTCCCGACCCCAGCATGGGGTTAAACGAGGGGGGGGGGGGGGGGGGGGGGGGGGGGGGAGGCTCTAGAAGAGGGGAAAGAAGGCTGAAAGGTGGTTTTCAGAGATCACCCCCACCACAGAAAGGGGCAATAAGGAGGGCATTCAGCAACCCTTTTCGGGGCGGGGGCGAAAGAGATAGCAAAGAAGAGATTTAGAAACCCCACTCGGGGGTTGAGGTAGCAATAAGGAAGGCTTTTAGACCCTCCCAAGGATTTATAAAGGGGTGGAGGCTAGCAGGAAGGAGGACATTGAGGGCCTGGGGAGGAGGGAGCGGCGACCTCAGGAGCTTCTCTCACCGAGGCCCCACACACAATGAAGGAAGAAACCGCGGGCGGCAACACCTCGATCCTGAAAGTCACCCCCACTCCCCGACACGACGGTGCGGCTGATGAGTGAGCGGCCTGTTTTACCTGGAATTGGGTTTATCCTGCAGGCCCTGGAAAGTACTTGTCGAAGTCATGACTAACTCTCTCTCACCCTCCTAACCGCCGCGGGCCACTTCCCGCCCATCGCTATTTAAACCAGCAGTGGGACAGGCCTCTACTCTCATTGGCCAAGCCGTCCGTCAATCACACTCAGAACCACCCCACCCGCTAGAAGAACGAACCCCATTCACCAACGCCCGGCAACAGTTCCCGCGGGCTATACAGGTCCATTGGTTCATCGTGAAGCCAATCACTTCATTACCAGCCAATGAAATCACAGCTTCTCCATCATCTAGACCCACCCCGAGGAATAAGCTTTCTGATTGGACAGATTCCAATCGTGTCTCGTTACTTTCTAACGTTCATGAGGAATCGATAGGCAAGTAATGTCAGGCATGTCTAATTGATACAGGGCTTTCTCTTGTCTCTATGGCTCATTCATACAGGGCTTTCTTTTGTCATTGTCCTAAACAAGATCCTTCTTTTTTCCTTTATTAAAAGTGAAGTCGTGCGACTGCTGGAGTCACAAAAAAAAGCAAAAAAGGTCTGGCAACTTCTGTGGAGACACTAAAAAAAATACAAAACAGTTCACCGTCGAAACCATTACATTTCTTCTAATAACCTTGTCTTCTCTTCTGTAGCAATTCCATAAGACCAAAGACGACTTTCTTCCACGCTAGAGTTGTGCATACTTACGTGGCTGAGTAGTTTGGACAGACTATGGCAAGATTAGAGCTAGAAGAACACAGCAGGCCAGGCAGCATCAGAGGAGCAGGAAAGTTGACGTTCGTCAACGTCAACTTTCCTGCTCCTCTGATGATGCCTAGCCTGCTGTGTTCTTCCAGCTCCAAACTGTGTTATCTCTGACTCGAGTATCTGCAGTTAATGCTATCTCTGATCAAAAAGGCTTTGTTGATGTCTTTGAAGCCTCTCCTCTGCCTCCTGGTTGCCAAATACATGTCACAAGCGACCTACCGGTGTCTTGACACTAGGGATGCTGGCCTGAGAGAAGTCACTGATAGTGTAGCACCTAGCATTCCAGACTTTTGCAAAAGCATCACTGATGAATTGAGTCATCTGCTGGGCCTTGTCCTTGTCCAGCATATAGAGAAATGCACGTAATACTGGTGTAGATTATGGCTTTTAACATTCAGCAGAGTCCTTTCCACACTGCTAGAATTTATAATAAAATACAAGTTAAACAAGACAACAACCTACATGATTTTATAATTATACATCAAAATGTATAACATCATATTTCAGACAACTGCTGTATTTTGCTTTTGTACAAACAGCCAAGAAATAACCATCCTTGGTCAGATCAAAGTACACTAAGTTAAACACATAGATTACAGAATTAGTCGTAGTTGGTCAGAATTTGCCCGGAGTCCTATAGTTAATTCAATTTTGATAAGCATGTTGAGTCTTGATTAACATCAGTTATTAGCCAGAAACATGGAAGCTGAAACCATCGCAAATGTTTTATCTACATTCCACATCAAGTACGAGTAATCTTGTGGCCAATAACCTAGAAAATACTCAAGCAGGATTACTTAACCATTTGACAATGTAAGGAAAATGTTATACCTTTTATAGTGTTAACTGCTTAAACATTAAACAGCAAATTATATCAAGTGAAGGGTGGGTGAGAAGGAACCCACTTCAGTTTGAACATCAGCTGATATATTGTACATTCTACAAATGTCTACAAAGGCCTTTTTGATCAGCTGGGATCAGGAAAAATCAGTTTATATGATTCCATAATGTAACACCAATGTACTATTGGTATCTGAATAATAAACTTGCATTTGGACAACACTGAAATCCATATCATGAGGAATAATTTAACTGTTTTTAAAAAATTTCCTAACATAGCATCATAATTATAGGCAAGAGTACCTTACGTAAAATTAAATATATGGAAAATAGAGGGATAGCCTTCGAGTAAGAAGATGTAGTTAAACTGGAATAAGACATACCTTTGTTTGCATAGACAGCAAAACTTTTGATGAACATAGATTTGAGGAAATTGGGAGGCTGGTCAGAATTGCCTTGGAAGAGTGGAGACTGATGGCAACAAATGTAGACTTCAGCAGATGTGCAGAAGTTTGCATGTAACCAAATAATATTTTGCAGATAAAGCCAAGTTATTCATGAGATTAGCCAGGCTGCAGAACTTTATTAAAGGGTGTGGTGCCTTCATCCATGAGCCAAGGTTCAGTCAAACACGGGATATTAGTACAAACAACATCTTTCATTTATATAGGATCTTTAACAGTGAAATTTTAAAGTGAAATCTTGCAGGAAATTCGGAATAACCGTTGATGTTGGCGGATGTGTTGGAGTATTGGTGTGGTGGAAATAAGTAGTATTATGGAATTTCAGGTTTACATGAAACAAGATACCCTAGGTTTCATGTGGTCTAATTTAGCCTTTGAGTGTATGGACCTGTGCTTGCAGTCAATGGCATAGGAGGAGAGTTTACAGCAGAAAATAAAGCAATCATGTTAGTTCTCAGTGTATTTCCTACTAGCAGAACTGGTAAACAAAGATTGTACACAATAAAAAAGGTAGTTACAAATGAAAACTAAGGTAATCTATGCCTAACTGACTAGACTTACTCAGAAGTCACATTCATCATTTTAGGTTTTGTCACTTATTTAACAAAGTATTACTATTTACCTCAAAATGTGGAAAGATTCAGTAAAAACAGAATCAAGGTCAATCATTGGCAAAATTGTCCAGGGTACAATAAAGTTTAAGAATTGGAACAATGTTAAAATGCCAGAGCAAATCTACAAAGTTCTTCTTGCAACTAAACAAAAAGGAGAAGCGAACAGAAAAATAAAGCATGCAAGTCTCATGCCTAAACACGTGAGAAATTGCTTTCCCTCTTAACAAGAGACATGTATCATTCACCAAAACTAGTCATTTCTACTTACACAACATTGCGTGGTGACAAATCACTTGTCCATATTTTTGGTGGCTCCAGGCTTAATTTCTCCAATACATTCATGGAACTTGCCCAAAACTTTCCATCTGGTATTCTATTCTGCACTATATTGCACTATTCTGCAGTGTCAAATGATTTACTGGCATTTATCCTTTACTCACTTCTTCATCGAACTGATCAGGATGTACCTTTAATATAATCTTCTCATTTCCCCATTAAAAAAACATTTATTATTTGCCTCAGCTATACCTTGCTGTAGAAAGCACCATTCTTTGGATAAAAACATTGTTTCTGAATTCCCTGATGGATTGATTGGTCTAAAATTTATATACAGACTATTAGACAATTGTGTCAAAAATGTTTCTTTGTGATTCCTTAATACTACCCTGTAACTGTAATACATTTTGTGTCTTTAACTTCTTGCTTGAAGGTCTAAATTTTGGGTCACTCAGTTTTGTCCGCTATAATATCCAAGAGTCCTCATTAGTTCTGTTATTCAGTCACATGCACCAGGAAGTTGAACAGGGGAAAAAAAAAACTAATATCTCCATTTCAGAGCAATGAAATAAAAGGATTTTAACTCTAACTCAGTCTACTCCCAAAAACTGCCATTTTTGTGCTAAAAATGACATTTTATAAGGTTAAGCGACACAACATAATGAGTGGGATTCAGCATTTAAAGAAAGAATTGAAGTTATCGGATTTATGACTAAACAAATAAATTATCCTTTTGCATAAATGCTTTGCTAAGTTTGTGTTGCCTCTGAAGAACAGCACCTTTAACAATTCAACACTCCTCTGGCACAGCACTGAAGTCAAAAGTCACAAGTCACAACACCAGGTTCTAGTCCAACAGAATTATTTGAAATCACAAGCTTTCGAAGCGCATCCCTTCATCAGATTAAGTGAAGGGAGAGCACCCCGGCACAGACTTTATAATCAGAGAGATCAAAAGATCATACAACTGGTGTGAGTGAGTATCGACAGGCCGAATAATAGGTCTCTACAGGTGATCAAGAGTGTCAAACAGTGGGAGTAAAGTGTAACAGCTGAATGACAGGTGAAGGAATGACCTATAATCCAATTGAGGCAATTACAAAAAGTTAAAAATAAGGTGGTGCCGGAGATAAACCAAATGACTGGAATAACATGCTAGGTACAAGAGTCGCATGTCGAGGGTGATCTTGGGTTCCTGTCATGCTACATGTGGCCCCACCACACTTGTTCTGTAAAATTCTCCATACTGTCCTGTTTTGACACCATCACCTTGATAACTTATGATCTCTCTACCTCAATTAGTTTGTACAGTTTTGGATTACTTGCTACTTTGGTTAGACCCTCAGCATCCAGCTGTTATACCTATCATGTTACTCCAGCCATTTGGTTTGTCCCCAGTACCACCTTATTTTTAAACTTTCTGTAACTATCTCTGCCTCAATTAATTGGATTATAGGTCATCCCTTCACTTGTTATTCAGCTGTTGACACTTTACACACATCGTCTGACACTCTTGATCACCTGCAGAGGCCTATTATTAAGCCACCACTCTCACCATTTTTATAATCTTTTGATCTGTCTGATTATAAAGTCTGTGCCTGGGTGCTCTCTTCACTTCACCTGACGAAGGGGCAGTGTTTCGAAAGCTTGATTTCAAATAATCCTGTTGGACTATAACCTGGTATCGCGTGACTTTTGACCTTGTCCACCCCAGTCCAACACTGGCACCTCCACATCACAGCACTGAAGTGTTAACCTAGATTATGTGGCTGTATAAGGCTCTGGTGAGACCACATTTGGAATATTGAGCGCTGTTTTGGGTCCTGTATCTAAGGGAGGACATGCTGGCCTTTGAAAAGGTACAGAGGAGGTTCACAAGGATGATCCTGGGAATTCAAGGCTTGTTATGTGGGGAACAGTTGAGACTCTGTGCTCTGTATTTGATGGAGTTTAGATGGATGGCAAGGGTGGATCTCATTGAAACAGAATACTGAGAGGCCTGGATAGAGTGGACATGGAGAAGATGTTTCTACTCGTAAGACAGACTAAGACCTGAGGGCACAGCCTCAGAGTGAAGGGACAACCTTCTAGAATGTAGATGAGGAGGAATGTCTTCAGCCAGAGGGTAGTGAATCTATGGACGTCTCTGCCACAAAAGGCTGAGGAGGCCAAGTCAATTAGTGTACTTAAGGCAGAGATAGATAGGTTCATGAATAAGTAAGGGGGATCAAGAGTTATGGAGAGAAGGCAGGAGAATTGGGTTAAAAAAGAAAAAAAATCAGCCACGATCGAATGGTGGAGCAGACTTGATAGACTAAATGGCTAATTCTGCTACCATATTTTATGGTCTTATTAGAAGAAGTTCTAGAGTCCTTATTTGGTGATATGGAATTGCAGGACAGCTGTTGAAATCAATATAAAAGGACAGGATTGAATTTAGCCATGTTAAGTCCCCACGCCATCACAATCACTTGCTTGCATTCACTTGTGAAACTCCCAAATAAATAAAACCTCTTGACTGAAATACTAAAATGGTACTGGCACTACTCAAACAGTGTACTGGCAAAAAGCTAATGTATTTGGCAGAGCAGAAAGGGATAAGGAATGTAGGGAACTTTGCAGAATAAGAAATCCACAGATATCAGCACACTTCTTGCAAGATTGAAGATTTATTTAGAATAGCTGTTCCTGCTCACATTTCCCAATTGTCAGCCAGCAATCATTTTACTGAACAAGTGAAACAATGACTGAATCTTAGTTCTTCATTTAAATTTACATATAATGGAACCAAATTGCCCAAAGAATGTTATATTTCTGGCCACTAACATCAATTAGTACTTTTTACCAGCAGTAAACCAAAGCAAACAAAAATCAAGTTAACAGTAACATATGCATCAAAATAATGTCATCCTCCAATTTAGTCAGCGTATTTTTTTACTTGCACTATGGAGGAACTATTTTATTTCTGGTGAGGGTGAATGTGTATCCATTTAAGTAAATGACATTAGCACATTAAATGCCAGCATGAAGAAATCCTAGCTCTGGTACAGCTCGTCTTCAAAGATAACACGAGCATAAATATTTTTCCATTTCCTATACCAGTCATTTTATTCTGAGTCATGGTATTGAGTCACTATCAGTTACAGCTGATCAAAGAACATTTTATGTACCTAGAGCTTTTATTCAGTTAAACTCTATTGATATCAAGCTGATTTCACATTGGGATCAAACCCAAGCACCTTATGAAAGATTGTGTCTAACAGAGTTCCATAAAGTCTGCCTATACCTTTTAAGAGTTTATCTGAGAAGCTTCCTGGATTGGAACCTAAAACAACATTTTAGCCATGGTATGTTTTGGGGCTATAGTCCACAAAGAATCATAGGCATCACTGTTCATTAGAGAGACAATTGGTTATATATAGCTTCAGGGTAACCAATCTACAAGCACAGGGTTTAGTGAGGAGGCAGGGCCACCATAAAGAGAATGGACGCACACTGTTGACTTATATTCTGTAACCACACTTCAGCCATCTAAACAACTGAGCTAAATGATCTCCCTCCCCAGCCCCAAAATTTTACTCTTAAAGTGCAACTTAATGGTATCTAAAGTCTGTATACTATGTTTCAATCCTTCCAGGATAATAGGACAAAGACATCCCTTTGCTCAGTGCAAGGGTCTGAGTTAAATCTATTTAAGGTCAGAAGTCACACGACACCAGTTGAAGGAGCAGCACTCCGAAAGCTTGTGATTTCAAATAAACCTGTTGGACTATAACCTGGTGTCGTCTGATTTCTGACCTTGTCCACCCCAGTCCAACATTGGCACCTCCACATCAAATCTATTTAAGTTTGAATACAATTGCTAAGTGTTACATGCCAATAACTGTCAATCTTATTCGGAGGGGCCACAGAAAGAGATCATTTGAAGATGGAAATTTCAAGACTGAGTACGCAGGAACCATTAGGTGCAGCTAGGGTAAACTTTGAGGGAGAAAGAAAAATCTAGTATTTATATACTGACTTTCCTAGCCACTGGTTGTCTCAAAGTTCTTTACAGCCAATTAAGTGCTTTTGAAGTGTAGTCACTGCTGAAGTGTAGGAAACAAGCCTCCACTTCTGCAGAATAGCAAACTCCCATAAATGGCAATGTGACAAAGATCATAGGATAGGCTGCTATTTATGTGATAGTGATTGAGGGATAAATATTGGCCAGTACACAAGCTGCTCTTCTTCAAGAAAGGGCTCAGAGTTTTTTTCCTCCCCCACCCCCTTTCTCACTTACATCAGAACAGGCAAATGAAGCTGTGATATAATGCCTGATTTCTGACACTCCAGCACATCTCAGTAATGCACTGAATGGTAGCCTTGATTTTTATGCTCAAGCTTTGGAAAAGGACTTGAACCCAGAACTACATAAGCAGGAAAGCTACCAACTGAGCTACAGCTAAGGTTCTTAAGGCTATAGCTTTCCATCCAAGCAGCTTATTGTGCAGTCTCTGTACTTAGGCATCTCAAAGGGGAAAGTTGTTTCATTGTCATCAGCAAAAAACAGGAGAATTGTTTTAAAATATACAAATTAAACTGTACAGATATTTCAACAGAACAGGATGTAAAAACTTACTGAGCATGACAAGAATTTGAGCTGAAAAATCAGCAGCATTCCATTCAGTGCAAATAAATGTAAATAATTTCTATTTCAATTTCGTGGGTTAAACTAGTTTCAGTACACAGTCATGTTTCTTCTTTCAATTGAATCAACATTCACCAGCAAAACATTCATTTCCCAAAGTAAAAAAAATCTTAATTCTCTGAAGGTGGATGGCAACTTAAACAACTTTTCAGAAAAAATAAATCCTAAAATAAGAAGAACAAAGATCGAGATTACATCCATGGTATACAATGTTTCCTTTGTACAAGCATGTAAAGAAAAACTGAAAGCACAGGAAAATAAAATTCTCAATCATGTGAAATGTTTAGACAATGTTTTAGCATTTTGAAACGTGGGTTTTGTCAGTTTGACGTTCAGTCTTTTGAAAGTAAACACTCCAAACCATGCAATGTGTATAAATGCAGGCCTGGAGCATCAAATAGGTATCCTTTTTAATGTAGTCTTGGTGGTCAAGTAGCGTTCCAACTAATGCAAGCTGATTTCCTGAAGTTGTAAATAATTTCAAAACATTCAATTAGAAAAAGAATATGAATACCTGGGAATGATTTAAAAGTACAATCCAGTCACATATAGAACAAATACCTGAAAACTAGAAGATTACTCTGATTGAAAGCACAGCCATTTATAGAAGTCATCAAAATCCTTGAACCCAAAAATGATTCCAGTATAGCTGAAGCCCCACATTGCCAATGTTTGTCCCCGCTTCTCTCTTAAAGAGTTACAGTTCCATCTCAGCAATATGAAAAGGTAAAGTCACCAGTGTCTTACCATTAGAGTAAGACAATGATGGTAGTTTAAGGGTCACTTCAGTCAAGGGCAGAGGTGGCAAAGGAAAATCCCTCATGGTTACCTCAGCCAGTTTGGGAATGAGGTGTAACTGTTACACTAGAGGGCTCTAGAAATTCTCATACATGCAACAAAATTAACGTGCAGGTATAGTAAGTGATTAGTAAGGCAAATGGAATGTTAGACTTTATGGGGGAGGGGGAGGTGGAGTACAAAAGCAGGAAGTTCTCCTACAGCTGTACAGGGTGTTACTTGAGACCGCACCTAGAATGCTGTGTGCAAAGTAATATACTTGCTTTGGGAGCAGATTAGATTAAGGTTGTTTTATGGTATGAAGGGGTTGTCTTATAAGAAAAAGAAATTGAGCAATTTGGGTCTATATTCATTGGAGTTCATTAGAAAGAGAGAGGTGATCTAAGTGAAATGTAACAGATCTCAGGCGGCCTGGCAGTGTAGTCGATGAAAGGATGCTTGCCCCTGCGAAATTCAGAGCAAGGAGGCAGAGTTTCTGAATATATGAGTTTCTGGTTTTGCCCATCTAAGACGGAAATGCAGAATTTCTTTTCTTCGAAGGTTGTAAAGCTTTGGACTTCTCTCCCCTACAGAGAGGGAGGTTGAGTCATTGGTCATATTTAACACAGAAATGGACAGATTTTAAACTATAAGGGAGTCAAGATTGTGAGGAACAGGTAGAAAAACAGAGTTAAGGCAAGACTTGATCAGCTGAGATCTTGTTGAATGGTAAAGGAGACTGTTTGGTCTATCCTTGCTTTTTTTTTAAAAAGACTTATTTATTTGTATTAAGTTTAAATTACTGCTAAAATGCCCCCCACTGCCCTTTAAAAGCTGATTTTATATTTGTGGAACATTTTTCTATCATTATTTACATTCATATTTATAAATTTACAAGTTTATAAATATTTTAGCTTCTACTTTAATCCAATCACAATTATTTAGTTCACTATATGAAAAGCTAAGTTAAAAGTGAAGATGGTCAGTGATTTTCACTTTCTGGTTCAGTGTGAGAATACTTCGAATTGGTTGCTTCCCCTACCATATCACCATTGTTAGATGTCTGGAGAAACACTTGACTTGTTACTGCATTTAAACCACCAAAGGGAACGGGTGGAAAAGGCAAAGGCAACCTTATTGAAATACATCTGTACAAGATCCTAGGGAACCTGACAGGGTGGATGCTGAAAGAATGCTTACCCTTGAGCAAAGTGACTGGAACTAGGGGACAGGTTAAAAAATAAGGGGTCTACCATTTAAGGTAGGGGCGAGGGAGAGTTTTTGGAACACGATCCTCCAGAAAGCAATCACAGGTACATTGACTCCCTTGATAGTTAAGAGTGACAGGGTAATTTGGTAGGTAGGAAGCAGAGTTGAAGCCATGATCTTACTAAATGGTAGAGCTGGCTCGAGGGGCCAAACATGTATACCTTGTCCTAATGTGAATGTTTGTTAAGGAAGTTGTCTTGCCAATGACAGAAAATTCCATAGCCCAATGTTACAGCCTGGGTTTCTTCACTGAAATATACGTGACTGCAATAAGTGTGAAAATATAACAAGAATATATATGGCAGAAATGGTTGAGACCAAAACTGGCTTCCAATCCCATTTTTATGTCAGGTAAAAATTTTAGTTTACAGAAAAATCATTGTTTTCAGGCTGATGCACTCCATAATTATTGGTGCCACTTGTGTTTAGTCAGAGCTATATAGATGCCTTTAAGGAGAAAACATAAACCCTTACTCAAAGATTTTCAGAGCGAGAGAAACAGAGAGATAGACAGACAGAAGGCAACAGTGGGACTGGCTGACAAGGCTGTGAGCCAAAAATGCCTTTCTCCTTTTCCACATCCCATACAAAAGGTTTACCTGTCTGTAACTGTGAAGGTTACAGGTTTTTGTTCATTATCGACAGCCATGATAAATGATGAAGTGCTCCTGCCATGCGTGCTGAGGGGCCTAGTGCTGCAGATGGGGAGCTCAGAAGAACATGAAATTTACTCTGCCCAGCTGGCGCAGATAATTCGGGTGACACTGGTGTTGGCTCCTCTTGGACACTGCTGAGTAAAGGCATGGCAGAATCCTGAATGGACTCTTTTTGCAGAATTTCAGAAGTGCAGCTCCAAACTATTTGGAAAAAAGGTATTTTATTAATTGATACCTGGTAACGACCTTTTGCTAGTTCAATTCTAGTTCATTTAAAGTTGTAAAGTGCTTTGGCAAACAGTGCATCAGTCTGCATGGTTTGCTCAGACATTCATTTCTATTAAACCGGACTGATTCAATTAGAAACAGATTTATTGTTTGAGTTTTTAAGATTATTTGGTGGAGATTCTGCATTTTCTTCTCAACTCTTTATACTCATATCATTTCAATTTTCTTACTCTTGTGCAACTTCCTCTTTCTCCACTTTTAGCCACTTCCTCCTTGCCCATACCTTGGGCAACATTCCATGGTCAAGAGGATCAGTTCAACACACAAGCATCCCTGGAGGGGTAAAGAACAGTGCATTCCCCATCCATTCCGATCTCTCTCTCTCTCCCAGAGATCTATTTTGTTTGAGCCAAGATGGGACCACCCCCAAACATTTCACCCCTTTTCCAAAAACAATTAAAAAATGCAGCAAACATGCTAAAGCCAAATTCACAGGTGGTATTGAGTTCTGTGCTCTCTTTTAGCTGGCCAGGTTGCACACCAAATTTTAGAATCATAGCTCTTTTCAAACTCATCTTCGAGCTATTTTAACATAGTTCTTGGAATGTATTCTTCTTAACAATACATTTGACGTCACATTTATAGCATGTTCCTACTTGCCCTAAGGTGGTATTGACACATTCTGTACACTGCAGTCTGTTCAGTGTTGCCCATTTTAGCTTTCTATGCACAACTTTTACATTTATTTTTACTAATTTGTCATTGCTTCACCTACTTACATCAGTTCATTTAACAGAATCAAGCTAATACTTATGTGATCCACCCTGATTGCTCACTTTCTTTTCCTAGCCAGGCAATACCTTACTGAGTGGTTTAGAGAAATTCTAATTGTATATATTTATGAAATAGGGAAGATAAAAGCTTGTTATATGGGTGAAAAATCAGTAAGATTAACAGTTTCAAATAAAACAGTTTCACTGTTAAAAACCATACCAGAGAATCAGTAACCTTGAAAAAGGCAATTGAAATAATAAACAATTGGAAATGCAAATCATGTTTGTATTGATTAACATCTTAATTAAGTTTAAACACATGAGAGTGAAAGAATTTGTAATTCACAGCCAGGCTTTACAAAAGTGTGCTTAAATTGTAGATTAGAATCTACATTTGAGCAATGCTTATGCATGTTTATTTGGCTGTAATTTACATAAAATACAAATGTCCTAAGCAATAAATCAGAGGGAGCAATTACCTATTTCAACCTGAACTTGTCAACTTTCTCTTAGAGGATGTCCAAACACTGGCATTTAGCTAAGGTGTGTGGATTACTGTTAGTAGCAGCTTCATATTCCCTAACTGAGCAGGGATTTGCACAAACTAGAGTGTCATTTTAAAATGGCTCATCTCAGGCAGTCAAATTACACAATTTGGAGTTTCAATATACTTAGAGCTGACACCATGTGCTCACTGTAAGCCAGCTTGACCTCCCCGGTTATCATTCATTTTCAGATGGGAGCTTAAAAATTAAGATGACAACTACCTTCTCAGTTTTTCAGTCAGGGAACAAAGAATGGCTACAGAATGCTCTGTAACATTATTCAGAGAACAGGAAATTCTGATTAACATCCTTCTCTCAATCACTGCTAAACAGACTGGTTATTTATCACAATACTTGCCTACATCATGTGTACAAAAAACCCACAATATATTTCAATATTGAATGAATCCAAGTTGGCTTTAGCATTTTCCCTCAAATTCGCAAACTAAGCCTATTCAGGAGACAACAAGGTGCAGGGCTGGATGAACACAGCAGGCCAAGCAGCA